CACACATTCCTTGACACATTCTCTAAACTTCTTTAGTGCAGGAAGGCAATCCCAAACTTCCTTTTGAAGAGGGAGCCAAAAAGAACTGGGTTAATATGGTTCCCTCAGGTTCCAGAATTTTGTTTTCAAAGGTCAATGATATAGGCAAATCTCTGTCATACCCATTTCTAGGCAGAGGAATACAAATGAGAGAGATAAGATGAGCAAATAATGCTTGAAAAGTTGGACACAAAGTAGGTTTATCTATAGAGAAGGCCCACTGCCTATAGCATGACTAGGCTTACATCCAACACTAAATTCCTTGTCACTCCGAATTTGGACTGTCTTTAGATTATTGTTGAGGTATTTCCCCATTTTAGAATGAAAATACTCTTAATACAAAAACTATGTGAGTAATCTTAAAAACCTGATGGATAGTCCATTAAGAAAGGGGGATCTTGGGGCACCTGGGTGGCTTAGTTGGTTAAATGTCCGGCTCCTGATTTGGGCTCAGGTCATGATCTCAGGGTCATGAGATGGAGCCCCGCCTGGGCTCTGCTATCAGCAGGAGTCTGCTTGGAATTCTCTCTCTCCCTCAGCCTCTCCCCTCCCCCAATCCGGGCACACACATTCTGTCTCTCTCAAATGAATAAATAAATCTTTAAAAATCTATAAATAAAAAAATTTAAAAGGGGGATCACAGTGTTAACAACCCCCATGTCATTCTGACTTTGAGCTAATTTCCCAAAATGTGCCTCTATAATCATTGTGTTTGCTGTGTGTATGGCAAATGGGAAGATATTCCTTTTAAAGATGCCCTTTCCCCCAGTAGAATATTCCCATAAGTGTGCTGCATAATTTCTTTCCCTTCCACAGATACCTTTTCATGTATAAAGCCTTTGACATTAAGAGGTGAACCACAACTATTTACTAAACAACTAGCAATACCAATGCTCATTTCCAAGCACCAAGAGAAAAAGACAAATTAAGCAAAAGGTGTATTCTTTTTATTTATTTAATTTTATTTTTTAAAGATTTTATTTATTTATTTGAGAGAGAGGGAGCACAAGCAGGGTGAGGGGCAGAGGGAGAGGGAGAAGCAGGCTCCCCGCTGAGCAGGGAGCCCAGGACCCTGGGATCATGACCTGAGCCGAAGGCAGATGCCTAACTGACAGCTACCCAGGCACCCCGAGGTGTGTTCTCTATAAAAAAATTTTTAATTGTGGCAAAATACACATAAAATTTACCATCTTAACCATTTCTAAGTGTACAGTTCAGTGGTGTTAAGTATATTCACATTATTGTGCAATCAGTCTTTACAAATTTTTCGTCTTGAAAAACCAAAACGTATACCCATTAAACAAAAACTTCCCATTCCTTCTCCCCCCAGCCTAGGCAACCACCATTCTACTTCTGTTTCTGAGTTTAATTACTCATACCTCATACTCATATCTAAGTGAAATCCTATAATATTTGTCTTTTCGGGACTGGCATATTTCACTTAGTCTAATGCCTTCCAGGTTCAAGGTGTCAGAATTTCCTTCCTTTTGAAGGCTGAATAATGTTGTGTTGTAGGTACATGCCACATTTACTTTACCCACTCATCCACTGATGGGCATTTGAGCTTCTTCCCCCTTTTGGCTGTTATGAATAATGCTGCTGTGAAAATGAACGTACAAACATCAGAGATGCTGCCTTCGGTACATTTGGATCTATTCCCCAAAGTGGGATTGCCGGATCATGTTGTAATTCTGTTTTTAATTTTGGGGGGAACCACCATTTGTGATGCTGGTGTTTGATATAGGAATCTAAAGTTGGGAGGAGAGATCCAGTGATTTAAATCTGAGAGTCATCAGAATATGGCTGATACACACGTTGGATCAGATCAATAGAAGAACACTCTGGGGGCGCCTGGGTGGCTCAGTTGGTTAAGCGACTGCCTTCGGCTCAGGTCATGATCCTGGAGTCCCGGGATCGAGTCCCGCATCGGGCTCTCTGCTCGGCAGGGAGTCTGCTTCTCCCTCTGACCCTCCTCCCTCTCATGCTCTGTGTCTCTCATTCTCTCTCTCAAATAAATAAATAAATAAATAATCTTAAAAAAAAAAAAAAGAACACTCTGACTTAAGAAGTAGAGACTTTGTAGTTAAGAGCAAAATGAAGAAGACAAGTTTTTCAGTCTGCACCCACACTGTGGTCCTCAACTTGAAAATTCACAGACCCAACTTTTTCAGTTCACAGCAAGATGATCTGTTTCTGGGGACTGATTTATAGTAATCAAATCTGCAGGAGACACTGATAAAGGGGACTTATTTATTAAATTAGGTGGATCATTAAAAATGCAAAATTAACTGGAATAATAGAATCCATAGGTCAGTTCATACCCTTATAACAGTGTCTACTTGGGAAACCAAATCAGCATCAATAGGTTGATGATAAAGTTTAAAAAAAAAAGAGAAAAGGAAATGTATGTCTCTAAAGGCTCTGGCAATTTGATATACCTTGTGCTTATATGGGGCTCTAGCTGCTGAACAGCCAAAAACACTTGGCTGAACAGAACGTCCTCTTGGATGAATATGGCCATACCCTCCTCTTTGCCCAGCTCTCTGTTTTCCAAAATTCACTCCTGCCGGCCATTATCACCTCCATTAAAACAATGGCTGACTTCCTGGGATCCTCAGGGGAGCAAAAGAGAAGTTTCCAATTAGTGGAACAATAATTCAAAAGTCTTGTGGAAATCACATACATAAATAAGGCCATTTAAACTAACTGAAATGTAATTTCTGGCAAACATCTACTCATCTTTTAGGCACTCACTTTGGGGGTCAGCTCCAAGAAGACATTTTCTCTGATTTCTTCCTAGGTGCTCATTCTCTGTGTGTGTGTGTGTGTGTGTGTGTTTTCTTCTTCTTTTTTTCCTTTTTTCCCCTCCATGTGTTTCTCACACTGCCTGGTGCCTCTAGAATTATTTTTATCAATCATCTGTATGTATGGCTCCCTTCAATGGACTGTGAATTTTGTTTTATTCATCTTTCTAGCCCCAATACTTAATATGATGTCTGGCACAGTGTAGTTGCTCAGTAAATGTTTGTTGAATGACTCAAAACTACACGATGACTACCAGAAACTTGACAAAGTATGCATGTATTTAATAAAATCATGAATGAACTAGTACTTAATGCATGAAATTTGGTAGACAATACAGGGTGTGTTTGGGAAAGACAGTAAAAGGGGTCACTGAATGGAAAAATTACCTGCATAGGAAAGGTTGTCATAAATTAAACCAGTTTATCTTAGTCTGGACGTTTGAGAGGTCAAGAGTCTGGGCCACTTTTGTTTTTCTGAGATTATCAGTATAAAAAAGAAAAAAAAAGAATTACAGGATTACATAACTGTGGCATATAGTACATATGTGTATTTCCAAAAGTCACAATTAAACACTGTTATGCTGTTTATAAGATAAGAATTTATAAAAATATCAAATATTAATTCAATAGTTTTCTGAAATCTCATTGATGAGCTTCTAAAAAAATACAGTTGAGGTCAGGGCCTCAACTTTGTGATCTGGCACTGAAACATGTGAAACTCAAAGATGACTAACAAGCAGCATCTCTTTTCAATCCTGCTGGTTGTCTCTGTGGTTGCAGGAGTATAATATCCTAAGTCTAGATTCCTCAGCCCCCCTAAACTGTTAGACCTGACCTATGTGGTCTTTCAAGACTTCCCTTCTCCAGTGGTGGGCCCTGACCTCAACTGTATTTTCTTAGAAGCACATCAATGAGATTTCAGAAAACCCTGGTTTCATGAGAACTATATTACAACACATTCTGGGAATAAGTCACCTTTATAGCTGACTGCTCATTTTTTTCTGTTCTTACCAGCTTTAATTTCAGAGACCGACTCCCAATCCGGACAGCTTACCCAGTGGGGACCACCCACCCTATTCCCGATCATCTCTTAATGAGTCAAGACTGGAAGCCTGGAGTGGGGGGCGGGGAGGAAACAGTCGTGGTACTGTGGCATCCCTTATCAGACGAGGAAGCTGCAGCTGTGTCCTCTCTGTCCTGGAAGCTTGCTTGTTCGGCTCCTTCTATCTTTACCCTGTTAACCACCTGGCTGTCATACACACAGAGGGAGTCAGCCGGGGGCAGGCCCTCTAAGGGACAAAAATAAATAAAGCGAATGTTGCTTGCTCAACTATTATGATTGCGTGTATTAGCCTACCACTGGCACAAACAAACGTAGCCCAAGAAGTCAAGGATGAGAGGAAATAAAGATTAAAAAACAAAAACAAAAACAACACTTTTGTTAAAAATTTGTCATCTATGAACGATAATCTGAGAGAATGAACAGTCTCTGAAAAGAGGTTAAGATCTTCCAAAGGCTAAGGATCTCAGAACATTATAAATTGAAGCTGGGGGCATACCTGGCATGAATACTCATGCATTATTTCAAACCATATGTCTTGAGTATCTCAGGGGTGGCCAGCCTATGGGCCAGCAATGTACATGGTTGGGCCCTTCCCAGCTCTCCCAGGCTCTGAGGGGAGCAAACAATTCAATAAGCAGTTTCAGTACAGGGGGATAAATACAACAGGGAAAGTGTGTGTGTTGGGGCGGGGGGGGGGGGGGGGGGGGTGCAAATAGGAACAAAGGTCTGGCTTCTGGGTCTAGGTAAATTACACTTAAAAGAATGTGCAAAACAGTTAAAAATGTTTGTTTTTTAAGTACATTTATTTGGAGGTAGATAGAGTTTTCCCAGACTCTTATCTGCTGGAAGAGGGGGAAAGGTCAGGTGTTGGTAGACAATACAAGATGAACTCCTGTAACAAACTTTTTTTTTTTTTTTTGGCAAAAGTTGAAGAGGCAAGACGACTTTGAGTTACCAGAAAACTAGCCCTTTCTGGATAGAGAGGAAAGTAAAAGAGCACATTTCTGGGCTGCATCTCTATCTTCAATGTAAAGAGCTCCTCCTGACCTCTGCCACACACCCGCCCAACCCTAAGGGACACTCTCTGCCAGGCCTTTTAAAGAATTACATTTAAAAGCTTTATTTACGTTTCTCCTGTTCCACATTCCAAAGGCTTCCTTCCCTGCGAAGGATAAAAGGTGCCATACCGAGCATCTTCAGGAAGGAAATCTCATCCCTTCGGTCAGGAAGTGAGCCTGCCCCCCAGAAAGAAGAATGCAACGCATTCAAGGCTTGGGGCCCCCCCGAGGAAGGGGCCGTGGCTGGGAGTTGCCCCAGTCCGGTTTCCCCGCTATGAATCCCGGAGCAAAAACAGTCTGGGGGAAGCTCCTGGAGAGAAAGGAAATACGCACCACCTGGGTAAGAAAATCAAGCTCTGCCTGTGCAGAAAAAGTAATCCCAGAGGGCTCAGCCTGTGGGCCCTCGAGAGAGTTCAATTTCAGTCTGATGAGCAGGACTGTGAACTGGGCACCACGCAACAGTTCTGTCCTTGACTGTTGTTCCCCAAAAGCTGCTGAGCACACCCTAAAGAGATGCAGAACCGGATGGCGTCCTCAGGGCCCGGGGACACTAGGGGCCTCGCCACTGGGAAGCCGAAGCTGTCAGTCTCGCTTCTCCAAGGACCGGCCGTGTGAACACAGGGCGCTTCTGGGAAGGCAGCTATGCTCACCACTATACCACCAACGCTGGGGCGCTTTTTGGAACGAGTGGCTGGCATCAAAGGTCGTGCGCATCTGCACTGCCTTCTGGAAAGCCAGAATGCGCACCCGCACGGTGCCTCGCAGGCAGCCCCCCGGCCCCGCGCTCTGCTGCCGGCACACGCTCCGGTTCTGCTGGCGCCTCCGGAAACCCCGAGTCGGGCCCAGGGGCCGAGAGGCCCGGGGCGCAGAGGGTTGGGGGGGATGCGGGGCGCGGGAAGCTGGACAGGTGACACGAGCCCTCCTCAGAGTCTCCGCCCACAGCATCCTCAAACAGGTGCATAGATGTCAACGAGAGCCCCTTCGTGTCTGCAAACACCACCTGCTTCTTGGGGCCCTGGGGTTTAGGAGGTCGTGCCAGGCAGGAGCGTAAGGACCGCAGGGGCCGCCGCTGGGCTCCGCCAGACCGCAGGAGCTGCTGCGGGGACGGGCTGTGGCAGAGGCAGAGATGCATGGGGCGGTGCACAGGAGACGGGCCGGCAGCACTGGGACCTTCGACAAGAGGGCAACGACGTTCTGAGGACAGGGCAGAAGGACCTGGCATTCTCCGCTGCAGCCCAGCCTGCACCTCCTCCCTGCCCCATCGCGCGCTTCTCCGCCCCTGGGGTCCCCCGCCCGCAAATGTCTGACGAAAGTGGGTAAAAGGAAGCACAGGCAAGCGGTGGCTGTGGGCTGGGCGCCAACGGGGAGCCCGTCAATTGCTGAAGGCGGGCGCACTTACCCCACGCGGCTCCGGGCAGCGGCGCGCGCGGCAGCTCGCCTAGTCTGAGGCCACTCTCGGCAGCCAGAAGTATTTAGGGGCTCCTGACCCCCAGCCGGCCAGCCGCAGCGGGGCGCGGGCCCCTGGAGGCAGCCAATCCGAAAGGCCTTTCGCGTCGGAACCCCTTGGGGAAGTGAAAGGATGTGACAAGAAGTGTGACTCAGACACTTTGCCCTGGGCCGCCAGCACTCCACCCCTGACCAGACAGCCCTAGGGGTCACTCTGGGGTTATCTGTGGCTGTGGTCGGGGACGAGGAGGGGCAGGGCAATGACACAGACCCAGGCTTCCAGGGAGGGGAGGGTTTCCTACGCACTGCGGCTCCTTTCCCCAGGGGAGACAGACTTTTGTCGGCCTCTCCCTTGACAGAGTCGGCTTTGGGGCTTTTCCCTGTGCAGTGACCTGCTGCCCACTTTTGGGGCCGATCTCTCCATCTCACGGTTTCTTCCCAATCACGTTTTGCCACTGCTTTCTTTCTATGTTTCTGTTTGTGTGTTGATGTATTTATTACTCTGTAAGCCGTGTGTGTGTGTGTGTGTGTGTGTGTGTGACATCCAAAGAGAGAGGAGGGTCCCTGGAGGAGGCACTCATTGACCAATATCGCTCCTACAGGGCCTGGGGCTCGGATCTCTCGTTCAGTCAGTTGTGGCCAGAGCGACAGGGTCACAGGCCACAAAGTACCTCCATAAGGAATCCCACTGGGCCTGCGGGCATGGCGCTCCTGCGCCAGATGTGATCAGATTGCCTCAGGGTCTGTGTTCTTACCTCGGGCATCCTTCTCCGATTCCCCGCTGCAGACCACTGTATTCTGTCACTTCAACCGTAACGCACCCCAAGTCCTCAGCCCTCTGCATTTTTCACCTTAGACCTTTTCCTCCGAGATCCTGATCCAATTCTGACAATTATTCAATGACTTTCATATGCTAACTCACACATCTGGATCTAGCTTAGACCTTTCATCGCACTCCAGGCTCCTAGATAATGGTTCTACTTCTAGATCTGGGCGGTGGTACCAAAGGTGAGTTCCCTGTGTAATTTTCTGTATGTATGTTTTACTTCAATCAATCAAAGGTTTATTTAAAGGAAAAAAAAACGGGCGCCTGGGTGACTCAGTCAGTTAAGCGTCTGCCTTCTGCTCAGGTCATGATCCCAGGGTCCCGTGATTGAGTCCCATGTCCGGTTCCCTGCTCAGTGGGGTGTCTGCTTGTCCCTCTCCCTCTGCCCCTGCCCCCTGCTCATGTGCGCGCTCTCTCTCAAATAAATAAATAAAATCTTAAAAAAAAAAATAAAGAAGAAAACCAGCAAGGAGGTAAAATTGTTAATTATATAGAGGTTTGGAGATTTTATTCTTACAAAAATGGCCTCAGAATGAATATATATAAAGGCAATATGTATTTTACACTTAATATATCTATAGCTGTGAACATCTTTTCATATTATAGATGTGGCTTATTTTTCGCCCATGGTGCATGGTATTCTGTCATATGGGTCCACCATACTCTACTATACACATTTAGGTGATTCTAAATATTTTAAAAAGATTATTTAATTTAGAGAGAGAGAGCATGAGCATGAGCAGGGGGAGGGGTAGAGGGAGAGGGAGAGAAGCAGACTCCGCATTGAGCGCAGAGCCTGAGGTGGGGCTCAATCTCACAACACTGAGATCATGACCTGAGCTGAAACCAAGAGTTGGAAGCTTAACCGACTGAGCCACCCAGGCGCCCCATAGGTGATTCTCAAATTTTTTGCCAATAAAATAGTGCAACTAAAACGGTTGGATACTGGGGCGCCTGGGTGGCTCTGTCAGTTAAGTGTCTGCCTTCGGCTGAGGTCATGATCCCAGGGTTCTGGGATCGAGCCCCACATTGGGCTCCCTGCTTAGTAGGGAGCCTGCTTCTCCTCCCTCTGCAGCTCCCCTGCTAGTGCTCTCTCTCTGTCAAATAAATAAATAAAATCTTTAAAAAAAAAACGAAGCCCCCCAAAAAACTCTTGCATACATATGTTTGTGTACATGTGTGAGAACTTCTCCATGACAGATATTTAGAATGAGAACTGTTAGTTCAAAGGGTACCCACATTTAAAACTTTGATAAGTACCACCATATTGCTTCCAGAAAGGCTGTGTAAGTTTATAGTTTCACCAATAATCTTCAAGAGTTGCCTTATTTCCATAGCTTCGCCATCACTAGAATGATCACACTTTAAAATATTTTCCAATATGATAGGTGAAAAACAGTATCTCATGATATTTTTTTAAAGATTTTATTTATTTATTTGACAGAGACACAGTGAGAGAAGGAACACAAGCAGGGGGAGTAGGAGAGGGAGAAGCAGGCTTCCTGCGGGGCAGGGAGCCTGATGCGGGGCTTGATCCCAGGACCCTGGGATCATGACCTGAGCCGAAGGCAGATGCTTAAAGACTGAGCCACCCAGGCGCCCCTCTCACGATTGTTTTGATCGTTCCTTTTTAAAATATTTATTTATTTATTTTAGAGAGAGAGAGAAAACGACGGGAATGGGGAGGGGCAGATGGAGAGGGAGAGAGAGAATCTTAAGCAGGTTCCTTACCCAGAGCAGAACGCCATGTGGGACTCAATCTCACGACCCTGAGATCATGACCTGAGCTGTAATCAAGAGTCTGACACTTAACCGACTGAGCCACCCAGGCGCCCCTGATTATATTTTTAAATGAAAATGGTATGTAGTATTTTTTTCATATATTTTCTGCCATTTCCATTTTCTTCTCAGTGAGATGCATAATCAAATCTCTTGTCAAGTTTTATAGTAAGCCATTTGTATATTTTTAAATGAAGTAGTAGTTCTTGGGTTGGTGCCGTGGGCTACCTTTTTTTAATTTTATTTTATTTATTTATCTGAGAGAGACAGAGATAGCGACAGAGATAGCGAGAGAGAGCACGAGGGGGGAGGAGAGGGAGAAGCAGGGCTCCCTCCTGAGCAGGGAGCTTGCCAAAGTGGGGCTGGATCCCAGGACCCTGAAATCATGACCTGAGCTGAAGGCAGACACTTAGTGGACTAAGCCATCCAGGCGCCCCATGAGAATTATTCTCATGTTATTGAAATTTCTAAGGGATGATCCTGGGGGAGGATATATTTTTCATGTTGATTTAGAGTTATATTATGGGTCACCTTTCCTTTCTTTCTTATGCACCAATACTCTGGATCCCTACAATGTGGTAAAGGATGTGTTAGATGCTGAGGTACAAAGGTGAACAGAATGGCAAGGTTGCTGACCACATGGGGTTTAATTTTTAGCATTCAGAAAATGTGGTCTTTATTACCTTTATTTTGGGGGAATTTATTGAGATTTTCTTTGTTGGTCAAAATTTTCTTAAAAAAAGTGTTTTCTTCTTTTGTTAAAATTCCCTCACTTGAATTCAAATTCTGAGAAACGAGTGTTCAAATCTTCTATGATGATAGTGATTTTCTCAAATTCATATACTCTCTGATAACTATGCTTTATATTATTGCAATACTATCTTGTTTGGTGCATGAAAACTCAGCACTATTATACCTTCTTAGTGAGTCTATCTTATATCAACGAATGATAACCCTCTTTATCCTATTTAATCTTTTTTGCCTTGCAGTCTACATTGATAATTCTATCTGTACCCCTATTTTGCTTCATTAATATTAGTCTGTTATAGCTGTATTTAGTACTTACTAAATCCACTTTTCTGTTATTTTAAGTGTGAGGTTATTTGGGAGGAACAGAAATAGCTGGACTGTGTTTTTCTAGATTTCTCTTCTTTTCCTCTTGCTCTTGGTCCTTTTCAATAAGCTCTAGGTTTTCAATTGACCTACATTGCATAAGAGTTGGTTTTTCTCCATCCTCATTGTCTAATGCCAAGCATCTAGTTCAATGAGATCCTAGCATTGCTTTCAAAGCTAATGTGGACTGAAAGATGAGTTTCTGGCTATTATTCAGACCTCCTTCTATCAGGATTGTGTGTATTTATCCTATACACCTCAATTTCCCAAATCTGGTAAACACAGAAACACACATGTGCATGCAGGCATGCAAAAGTCTCAAAGATTTTAAAAACCTTCACCCACAAAAAAACATTGAGCTGGAAGAACATATTGAACCAAAGTTAGAAGTGGAAAAGATCTACCACAAGATAAGCAACCTTACTACTTAACACAGAACACGGAAATTGGGGAGCTGGGGCGGTGTTTTCTGTAGTGACTACCATCTGAAAAGCACAAGGCTAGAACATATTTCTGTTGGACAGGTGATGTGGGGTCAAGGAAAGATAACTGGTTTTCTGCGTCAGAAGTGCTAGGTTCCAGTCTTGGCTAAATCACTTATTGGTAATTATGAACAGCCATGATAGTCTACAAATGAGATAGGGATCTCTGCCTACATCAATGTACTGTAGAAGAAGACAGCAATAAATGAACAATTTATATATGTATTAATATTTAAGAATTTTCTAAAACCTTTTCACACCTTATCTCACTTTTTCCTTCTGACAACCCTGTTATGTTGGTGTTACTATTCTCCCTATTTTACGTATAAGGAAGTGATTTCTCCAAGGTTCCTGAGTTGATAAAAATGCAGATTCTGGGGACACCTGGGTGGCTTGGTTGGTTAAGTGTCTGCCTTAGGCTCAGGTCATGATCCCAGGGGCCCGGGATCGAGCCCCTTGTTGGGCTCCCTCCTCAGCAGGAAGCCTGCTTCTCCCTCTCCCTCTGCCACTACCCTTGCTTGTGCCCTCTCATTCTGTCAAATAAATAAATAAAATCTTTAAAAAAATGCAGATTCAGGACTTGAGCCTAGTTTTGACTCCAAATCCCAGCATCATTTCATGGTAACCTGTTCCTTGTGAAAACATTTTGATAAACAAAAAGCACCTTGCAAATGCAAGGTTTAGTGTTAATTTTCTGAAAGAGGCATGTGTGGGTCTGGGCATAAATCTTCAGAAGACTGCTGGGCTGCTGGCAGACTGAAAACTGCCAGGGAACTTGAGAGATTTTCTGGTCCAAGCCTTTGCAAGCTTTAGGCAAGCAAGTGTTGAAAGCTTTCAGGAACAGAAAAGTATTTATGACTTTTTTTGCATCTCCAAGATCTTAGCTTCTACAAACTTCTTTGGTAGACCAAT